CCACAGACAAACGAGCGACAAAAAAAGCTGCTAAGCGAGCTGAGGAGGAACCTTCAATAACTCGGCAACTCTTTCAAGACTCAGATGTTAATGAAAGTAGTGATGACGAAGAAAGAAAAGCAGAGAAGCGATTATGAGGGTTGAATGCTGGCATAAAAAAGTATATACTGACGATATCAACAGCTACAAAAGTCAATTTGCAGCAAACTTGTACGAAAGTGTTAGACATAGATTTGGCGAGGCTGTCGATCAACGCAAAGGCAAAGACTATTTTGAAGACAATGCTCCTAAACCACCAAGAAAGCATAAAATGAAGCGAGATGCCATGAATCAGTACAAAGCTGAAATGAAAGGCTGGCTCGATGGAATCTTTATCTAAACTGAACGTTGTTCAAGTAATTTTTTTTCTAACTCATCAACTTTTTGAATTAGAAGTTTGATGGCAGCAGCATTTAATGCGCCAAGTTGAGAGTAATCGAGAGTATATTGATATCCTTCCAGATCATTATCGCCTTCTGCCGTCATATTTTCGTTTGGCATAATACTGACCATTTCTCCACACACTTTCATTGCATCCTGTGCAATCAGTCCGAGTTTTGCTTTGCTCTCTCCTTTCCAGTTGTAGCTGACGGGTTCCAACTTATCGTAATGTTCCAAGCTTATTGAAATAGGTGTTATATTCTCCTTGAGTCGTCTATCAGAACTTGTGTATATGGATTGCACACAGAAAATTGAAGACGAAAATATGGCAGAGACCGTGACACTAACCGGGCCTAATCCAAGATTGCTCCAAATATTTCCTTGTACGTTGTATTGATAACAATTTGATGTTCCGCCAACGCCAACTGTGTATGAGTTTGATCGTGATACGTGCAAAGTTGCTGAGGGAGACCCAGTCCCGATACCAACTCTACCAGCGGAAGATATTATAAGTCTCCGTGTGTTTGCAGTCATCATAACCAAATCGTTGGTAGTAGTAGTTCCAAAATATGCACTATTAGTCGAGGTTGCATTCGTTGCATTGTTCATTTGCAATCCAAACCCAATAGGTGATGCATCAGACGATTCCATGAAGATCGGCAAATCATAATTAGCAGAACCATCGTTGAGTGCATTAC